TTAAAGAATAAACGTATATAAAAATATAACACTATAAAAAAATTATTAAAAAAAAAATACAATATAGAAAATTACGAAAGTATATAAAAATAACATGAAATAAAAACACATAAAATAAATGTTTACAATAAAAATAAGATCAAATCAAAAAAAAACTAAGTGTTAAAAAACCAGAGTATAATAATTTTTTTTTCTGAGCAAAAAATATTTAAAAAGAGACACATAACACTGACAAATGACGCATAACACTGACAAATGACTCATGACAAATGGCACATTACACTGAAAAATGACTTATGCAAATGACACATGACAAATGACACTGACTGGCACATACTAAAACCAAAACCAGAATCTATAATATTTCAACTCGTTTAAACCACAAATTAAAGCATAATAAAATATATAAAATCGTGATAAATGCTCATGATAAAATATACAAAAAAATGCGTAAAACTACGTTTCATAATAAGGTTTATTGAAACAATACTATTGATGTAACTGTTAAAGTATAAATTCTTTTTTTAAAACGAGTTTAGATCAAGTAAAATTAAAAGCATATAAAAGAAATAAGTTGTGCAAGTTTACATTATTTTACTAAAAAAGAAAAGGAAAATTTAGGTCCGTAGATAATAAAAAACACTTTGATTCAGATTTCAACTGTTCAAGTGTATTTTTTTGATTGTGACAATCTGAGTTAAAATTTCCACATAAAAGGTTCGCGGTGTCGGATTGAATATGAATCTATATTAAATGTAAACTTTGGGATGATAAAGTTGTTATATGAGAATCTAGTAGGGTATTTATGGCTTATTTTGCTAAAATATGATTGAAATATGGGTGGAGACAGTCCATATTTTATTTTGTACATAAACTGCAAAACAAGATGTATTTTAATTTTGTATAAATTCAACGCTCCAAGTTTGCTCCGAAAAAGTTCTTTACTCCAAAGACAATTCTACCGGCATGTTTTTGTTTACTGTAGAGTTTTTTAAGCTTTGCATAATTTGTGCTTGCCCAGGCCATGTTACCATAACTTAGATGACTGTGTATTAATGAAAAATATAAACTTTTTAAGGACATGATAGGAAAGGTTTTGCTTTATACATTAATGAAATATTTCTTGAGAGCTTTCTCTCTAAAGTGTTTATATGGAGTTTCCGCGACAAATTTTCATCCAAGACCACACCTAGAAAGTTTATAAAATTTTCTCTTTTTATATTAGTATTGTTTATTTTTAGATCAGGTAGTTTAAGAGGAATATTTTCATTTTTATTTGGTTTATAAAATAGGATGAATTTAGTTTGTTTGACATTCAAAGAGAGTTTGTTATACATGAACCATTCGTTTATTTTATTTAATTTTTTGTTAACTATGTTAAAAAGTGTCTTAATGTCTCTATGTGAACACAACAGATTGGAGTCATCCGCAAATAGATTAAATTTAATAAGTTTGATGTTGAATATAAATTATTTATATAGAGTAAGAATAATAACGGTCCCAAGATCGAACCTTGGGAAACCCCGCAAGTTATTATGCTTTTTGTTGTTTTTGTTGTTTCATAGTGAATGTATTGCTTTCTGTTTGATAAATAATCTTTCATCCAAAGTAGGTTATTATTTTTTACTCCATACACTTCAAGTTTTTTAGAAGAATGTCATGATTTACGGTGTCAAAAGCTTTAGAAAGATCAATAAAAACTCCTAACGTAAAGCAACCATTACTAAAGACATTAGATATATGAGTTACTAGCTCAATTATAGCATGGTCGGTTGAGTGGTTCTTTTTAAATCCAAATTGTTTGCCGTATAAAAAATTGTTTTCTGTCAAATAGCTGTAAAGCTGTAAAAAAGTAAACAGTACTAATGAGGTAGGAAAATTTGCCTAGTTATTGTAGTTTTTGCTCCCGTATTAGGTTTTCGGATTGGTTTACTTATTATAACATAATTATTTATGGTTAAAGCTTCTAGTATTTAGTTGATATTTATATGGTTTTTTTATGGTATTGTGGTGCGATAATCTGTTCATAAATGGGTTATAAACAATCAATTCCCGTATATTTTCTAGAGTATAAGAAACCGGTAGAGAGGATAACTAACCACACTACCGATAAATTTTAATATAAATATTGCTTTAATTGTGTTTAGTTTTTGCGGCAAAAGGTTTATTCATTTTTTCTGTAAAGTTTTTGTTCATAACATCTAAGACTTCCATTGAAGATTTAGACGTTATATCCAAGATCTCTTTAGCGCTATTTATGTTGTTCTCTACTGTTGATTTCCAATAATTCTGTTGGCAATTTGCAATTTGTTCTACATCGCCGGCCGAAGCTGCTTCTTTCATTGTATTAAACATCTCAGAAGTATTTTTTTGAAAAGAATCGGCCCCCCCTTTTTGCAATCGATTGAACAGTATCTGAGATTAGCTGATTAGTGGATGTAATAGCCTCGGCAGTTTCCTTCATCATATTCCCAAAAGATGTCATATCCATATTTGGCATCCATTTCATTGATTTTGCTAAATTTTCTTGATTCATAAATGATTGAAAAAACTCAAATGGGTTATTCTTACTCATTATTTCTCCTCCATAATATTTAGTTAAAAGAGCGCTCCGCAACACGAACTTGAGGTTAGTATGCTTAAGCACTATTATATCAAACTTTTAATTTGTTACCAAAAAATAAATTAAGAGTTGAGGTAAAGTAATTGCTATAGAAGTAAATAATGAAGCTTTTTCTCTATAGTTTTAATTTCTTCTGATAATTTTAGCACAAGTTGGGGAAGTTGATGATATTCCTCACGAGTAACAAATTCATTTTCTAAAAATTTTTCCTTAATATATTCTGAGTTTTTTTCCTTTAAATTTTTAGAAGTTTTTTTTATACATGATGCGTTCTAATAACTTGGAAAAACATGGTAAAACTGATATAGGTCTATAATTAGTAGTATCAAAATCACCTCCAGATTTACAAATAGGGGTGACTTGGGTAATTTTTAGTTTGTCAGGGACAATACCTGATTTTAATGAGAGATTGAAGATGTGATGCAATGATGGTTCAATGATATCAAATACTGATTTAACGATAAAGCTACTGATATTATCAAAGCCCGCACTTTTGTTGCTTTTTAAAGTATTTAAGGCGGATCGCAATTCATTAAAATCTAGATTTGTTTCTTTCATAATCTTTTCTGAGGTAAGGTTCTTATTCAAGTATGAATGAAATGTTGCAGAACTTGACGGAATTTCTGCTGCTAATTTGTCACCCACATTAAGAAAGAAACTATTTTAATGTTCAGCTATTAGGCCAGGTGAATAAAAAAAAGCAATTGCTTTTACTCAGTAACTGTTCAGCTTTGCGTGAAAAAAAATTTAAGCAAAATTGCTCAAATTTTTATTCACGTAAAGCTGAGCAGTTTACTCCAACAGCGCTCAGCTTTACGTAAATAAAAATTTAAGGAAAATTACTCAATTTTTTATTCACATAAAACTGAACAATTACTGAGTAAAAGCAATTGCTCTTTTTTATTCACCCGGCCTATTGTTATCTTATCATTGACTAACTTACCATTAATCAATAGTTTTTTTGACAGATTGCTTTTTGTATTATTATTAATTACTGACTATCTCTTTAATTGTATTCCATGTTTTCTAACATTTCCATAGTTTTTTTTTGACAAATTTGAATAAAAAAGCTTTTTTGAATATTGTTTTGTTTTTTCAAAAAAGTTTTTATAATTTTTGTATGTTATTCCATTTTTATAAGTTTTATTATTTTTTTTTTTTTTCTAGAGGATTTAATTAAACCTTTTGACATCCAGGAAGTTAAAAATTTTTTGTTTAAAATAACAATTTTAACTGGAAACGCTTCTTCAAAATGTTTACAAAATTGACCTAGAAACAGTTCGTATGCGTTGTTTGCAACGCTTGACTGCAATATAAGATCCCAGTTAACATTGTTTTTTAGTAAATTTTTGAACTTTTGTATGGAGTTTTTATTGATCTCTCGCTTGTATATAGGAGATTTATGAGTGGTATTGTTTGATGCTATATTTTTAGTAGTTAAAAAGTTAAAAAGTTAATTTTCCTCAAAGTGATCAGAAAGGTCTGTCTTAATTATACCTGTGCAAACATAGAAATTGTTCGTAATTATATTATCGAGTAACGAAGAAGAGTAACTATAGTAAGTGTGAAAATTATTAGTGTTTAGTTTCACTCGAAAATATACTTTTCCGTAATTCTGTCATTCAACGCTTTTCAAGAAGTAATCATTTCATTTCTGAAAAAAGATTTTCAATCAGCGCAACCTTTACAACAAATATATCTTTTTACTTTCATATTTTTTCATTTTATTTTCGAGTTTTTTACTCCGGTATTATAATCAAATTAAAAAAAATTAATCCCCATCCTCTAACTTTTGAGTTTAATACGAAAATTATTTGAAATTTTTTTTTATTTTTATGTCATTAGATAGAGCACGAAATTCTCCATAACATAGAACAAAAATAATTTTTAAATATTTTTGTTTAAAACCGAATTTAATAAAAACTAAAAAGATTTCATAAGTGTTTAGCTTTCCCCGCTGTTCAGTTATTTAATATAAATTTCTATATCTATATATTAAATTGTTAAATCTAATCATTATATTAACGGTGTGTAGTCTTCTCGTATCGTTTATTCAACCATCATTTAGTTTAGCGCTACGGCTTTTTAATGCTAATTCCTCGCGCAGTATTTGTCTCTAAGGGAATTCTTTAGCAATCATTTTCTGTGTAATTCTTTAAAGGGAATTACTTATTCCGCAATCGCTTATCGTTATTCTGAACGATTGTTTGAAATTATTGTCCAGAGAAAATTGTTTGGGTAACAATCATTACAACCCCGTTTTACTCTATACAAAGATAAGCTTTAAGTTCAATGCCAACAAAAAAAAATATTACGCGACCGAAAATAATGAAATAAAAACAATACAAACTGTGAATGTCAATATACCAACTCAAAATACAATAAAAAAAAGAACAATTTTTGATGAATATTTATTTAAAAAAAACAATAATTTAAAAACATTTAATACATTGTAATGAAAATTAGAGTTTATCAAATAGTTGAGCTGGAATGTGATGGAATTCATAGTCTTTTAAATTGATTACATTTAATGTTTCATTGAATTTTAAATATATCAGTAAATTTTAAATATATCGAATGAACGACTTCCAAGTTTATAACGCATATGAACGATTTCCAAGTTTTTGTTAATATTTCTTACCCAATTTCATTTTTGGAACAAAGCTAAAACATATGAAAGTACTTATTGTGTTATTAATAGCAGGTCTATAACATCTAACATTATGCAAAAAATGAAATAGGATGGATGAAAAATAATAAAACAAACAAATTATAGGGAATAAACATTATTTCGGATTCACTTTAAATATGTCCAAAGGAAAAACTAAAGAGAAACACTGCTAATTTTTATTTATAAAATATTTTATATTATTGTGCTTCATTATTGTAAAAAATAACTTAAGTTTAGAAATACCAAATGTATTAAAAGTACCGAAATGCATCAGTAGGTTTGCATATCGAGTTATTTATACCATACTACCATTATATGGTGCTGTATACAGTTTGATAATTTTGTTTTTAATCTAAAATATAATTTTCTTTTGTAAGAAAAGCAATATTAGTAATAAATTCAAAGAAATTGTTTTTTTTATAACTTAACTTCGCTTATTAATAGTGTTTAATGTAATTAACGGTAATAATAAATTATATACAAGAAAAATCAATCTTCTAAAATAGAATGATATGTAGTTTTAGCTGTGAGTAAAAAATTAGAAAAGCTGCTGATAAATGCGACATTTTTAAATTTGCTCTACATTGAGTAGATGTAAAGTAAGGGTTTGACGCCACCCTGAGAGGGTGACGTGTATTTTACATCTGCTTTGATGCTACCCTGAGAGGTCTCCCGAGTGGTCTCACTTGAGGTCTCTCTCTGGTCTGAAAATATTTCTTGACACATGAAATTAAAAACGTACGGAAAACTTTTTCTCTTCATGGTTTAGTACTATCAAGCGGCCATTCCATGGAGAGATTAATATCATAACGGACACGATTAATTTATTACACAAATATACAACGTTTCTGAATTGCTCTTTCTCAAACTGAACTACAGTGTCTAAACATAGAACACAAGAACGTCAACTAATCAAGTACCAGTTGTTCGAGAAACAGTTATTGGGATACATCCCCTTGAGTTACTTAGTTTTAAACCGCTTCCTGATAAGCGATGATTGCTTGCAGATTTGAAATTGTCAGCCAAAAATTATTGGGCGCCTGCGTAAAATCCATTTGTTGTCACAGCTTGAAAACCGTCTTTACTATTTACCATATTTGTTTTGTTGCTTGAGTTACAAGAAAAGTCAGCAAAGCAGTAGAACATTTTTTCAAAAAGGTGGCAAAGCAATGTAGTTGAGTGAACAATTTGGAGTTGTTGAAGTGTTAGTAGAAATAATGACTTGCGAAACAATTTCGCATTCGAGCAGATCTGCAAAGCTTGAGGGGTAAAATGGTCCTTTACCATTGAAGAGTTCAGAATCGAGGGGAGTGCAATACATAGACCCATTGGGGTCTGCGTCCGTAAGCAAGATAAATTGCAGCGTTTGGGCCAGTAGTGCAACCTGTTGAAAAACCTGATCTAAGACGAGTAAGACTTCTGGGCTCAGCTTGTTCATCAATGCTTTGCATAAGCCTGTCAGGTAAAGCCGGCTGAGTTGTTGGGAGGAACAGGTCTCGAACACTACAGTAATCTCCATAGTCCATTAATGATTGTATCTCTTGGGCTTGCAGTAAGTTTTTGAATAACTACTCATCCTAAATTTGCAACGATCCTCACGGTCAAGTCAGTACCTCGAGTTAAAAGGAAATCGTATATTAATCGGACTGATCCAGGAACAACAACCATGTTGGCTAAAAGAGATGCAAAAGTTAATAGGGCAAGGTTAACTGTTATAAATTGCCTATCCCTTTTAGGTCCGTGCCTTTTAATAACGTCGCGGGAGGGGTTTTGCAAAGTTCCATAGCTACTATTTAGACTTGAAGCCATATTGAATGTTTTATTAAAGACCTGATTACTATCTAATATATTGCTTACACGTAAAAAGACTGAAGGTGTGGAAGGAATCCCGCTTATCAATAGAAATAGATCTAGAGAAGATTGGGCTGACTGGGATTTACTTCATCCTGATGTTTTAGTATATTGCCTTTTTAAAGCATTTTGATAGTCCTATTCTTTTCTTACAAGTTCTCCTCAAGACGTTAAACCATTGGGATGAAGAAATGTTTTTATAGCATAATCTGTAAATCTACCATAAAATCTACCAAAAAAGGCATATGCTGTTCTTCCTGCAATCATCGGCGAGTTAATCAGATGTTTATTTTATGTAGGAGCAAAATAAGCTTTTTAGATTTCATACAAAACATGATTAGTCATAATCGTTATTACTTTCTTTTTATATAAAATACTAATGAAAAGTTTAAGAAGTCAAAATATTAGAAAAATGGAAAATAAATTTTAAAAGAAAGTAAGCTATTATAAATAAATGGCTGTTATGAGGGTCCCAGCATCTTTGTGTAGATACTGCTACACAAAGATGCTGGGACCCTCGTGACCATTTTAAGTTTAAATTAAGGTAAGAACGAGGCAAGTTTAACGGTTATCCTGTTTTTACAAACGTATTTGTTGCTGGAAACCCTAAAGGGGTTTATCTTGGTGGTGGAAAGCACTATTACCCCACTCCAGAGTTTAATCCAAACTTTAAGTATGAATTTGTTAATGCTTTACCAAGAATAACATTAACAATTAACGACGGTAAAGAGACTAATAGTTCACCTATCGCTACAAATGGTATATTGCGTTGTTCGATAAGAATAATAGGCTTGGAAACGCTAACAATATAAGTTAACGCAAACTTTTCATTCCGTACGAGGTATAGTAACATTTTTCTTACTCATATCCAGAAGTAATTGATCCACCCCAAACGTGGGTAGAACCCTCTGGCAACATTAATTATATAAATATTTTAAATTTTGCCGTATCACTCGCAACTGCGGCTTGTGGAGTGTCAATAATAAACTTCATTGTATCGATAATTATATGCCATGTATTTACAGTTTCACGTTTACTATACAGTAAAAAGTATTTTTTGGTCTTTAGGTGTTAATTTACCAGCTTCAACAAATTTCGATCCATGGAAAATTGGTATTGATAACGCTCAACTCGAGGAGATAAAAAATGAATTTAACATTTCTGAAAAGAGATAGCAAAGTTGGGTTCACCATTGTGATGAAAGACGTTTTGTTGTTGATGGGAAGTAAAAATGAAGCAAACGCACACAGTTTATCAAGGTAATGTTACTGGCACCATGTGGGTTACTTTAACAGCGCCGTTAGTAGCAACAAAACAGACTAAAATAGCTTTAAGATTACTAGACAGCGTTAATTAATGTTGTAGCGATACAACATTAATTAACGCTTAATTTACAATAGAATGCGACAAATTATTTTCAAACACGACAACATATAACGGAAGCCCATCAAAAATATTTTGTTATTTTACTCATAATTCGAGTTCTCTTGGATATGCTATAAATAAGCAATCCAATTTATACAAGCATTCTTTACAACTTTCCATATTATTGTTCAGTTGATACCCCATCAACTTGACAATTTCAAACGGCTTTGTCGTAGGTAAAAAGGGTGAGCGTGTTAGGAGATGAATTCCGGAATAATAGCACAATTAGGAAAAAAATTTCAAAGCGTTTATCTATCGCTGCCGCCATTTGTAATAAAGTTGGGTTGACAACGGGAGTGGTCGCAGGCTCAATTGCAGTTACAATGATACCTATCCCTGTTAGCGACTCAGGCGCTGGTTTTATTATTTTAGGGGGAGGCAACTCTTCTTAATTATTCATGACAAAATAATAGCCGCGATTGCTTCAACACTGATAACATCATAAACGAGGTTAGTATTGTTTGAATCCATGAAGGGTTTTTCTTTCTTTGGTATATTTTCTTTTGTTTTCACTTCTTGTTCTTCCATGTTTAAAACTTTTTCTTTTTGCTTACAAAGTTCAGAAAGCAAATGCTTACAATTTAGTTCAGTGTTAGCGTTATAAGTTTGATTAAGTCTAAATAAAGTTTTATTTTACTTCGGTCAAGTTCAAATCAAGTTTATATTTTTTCCAATAAACCTTATTGCTTCCCGAATAACATACATTATTGCTTATCAAGTAACATACTTATTTGCATCCCAAGTAACATACAATTTCGTTCTATCAGGTGTGAGACAGCCACAATGAATTATTTGATCTTTGTCTCCATTAAAAGTTGAACTTATTGGTTTTACGTCCGGACATTTGATAAAAAATATTTTTGATTCTGTTGGCGGCGCGACTTTAAATATTATTTTTTTAACACCAATTCGCGAGAAGTTAGATGTCCTAAGCGCTTCTTTAAGAGCATAGGTTACACCCGTTTGCCTCTTTGAGTTGATATCAAACAAGTAAATAAAGTGATTTCTTGACATTATTTTTTTATTTTTAATAGTTTTCAATTGAGAATTATTACTAATTATTTACTCAAAATAGTCCACATTAATATAGTGAATATTAATTGATGAACTATTACAAAAAGCTAAAGCAGAATGGAAACAAAAACGTGCTGATGCTATTGATAAAATTAATACTAAGCTCGCAGATGAAGGTCAAGCAAGCAACGCAGCTAAAAGTTTAGCTTTTTGCTGGATCGTTTTGCAAGCCTTCTATTGGGATTAAACATTCGAAATCCGTATAGACAATATAGGGCAGGCGCATCTGTTTGTGGTGATTAGTAAATTTACACACATCATTTTACCCTTTTCTGACATTACAGTCCGCTGCATTTATTTCCGATACTGAAGCAATCTCGGCTGTCTAGCTTCCAACAAAACAGCAGTGCTAAATACATGGAGACAGCAGTGGCAAGGGTGTTTTCCTGCATTAAACTTACTATTATATTAAAACATTCCAGTTAAATTTTTTATCCAAATATAATGTGGGTTTTTATAAAATATTGATATAATTCTTGCTAACGTAAGATGGGTAAAGACAAGTATTCAATGCAATCACATTAACCTAGAGCGTTGGATTTCGAATTGGGAATTCAATCAAAGTGAAGCTCGCCAAGATGCTGACTGTATTTAGTTGTGCAATTTGCATGCTCTTTACAATTAGGGTCTACAGGGTATAATGCGCTAAGTATAGCCCATTCGAAGCATCTATTATCAACATTTTTAAAACTGATAACATAATGCTTTGGAATGCAAATGGGAGTTTTTATGTAGCTTTGAGCACGGAAAGGCTGGCATTTAACGAAGCCAATTTGTAAGGACTCGCAGCGGTTCAAGCGCTAGCCTAAACCTTCATTTACAAATTTTTAAAGCAGTTCGATAATTTTCGGGGGGGCTGTGTTAAGTAAATTGTTATTAAGTATAGGAGCCACGTCCGATCGAAGGTAGACAGTTTGTTTTATCGTTTTCATTAGTTCATTTTCATCATAAACATTTTCAATATTAAAACGATGTTTCCTCCATATCGGCTACAAATATCAACGTTACTTTTTGCCCATCATTTTTTATCTTACTTTCAATTAGCTTTTGGATTTTAAATGCCATTTTGTTTACAAAAAAATGTGCATCTGATTCAAGGCTGTGACCATACGAAAGGTCAGCCAAATAGTTTGCAAGCTGATTAGTTTCTTTTCGAAGTTTAAATTTGGGCAAATTGTTTTCTAGTCAGTTATTAAGCCTTCTTAAAAGGTTTGTTAATGTTTTCATTTTGTTTTCTACCTAATTTTTCTTTTTGTAGTGGTTTAACCTTCCGGTTCAAGCATAAGTTTTTTAAGTAGGTTGTTAAATTCTTTAAAGCTAATTTTACAACCCAAAAATAGCTTTTTTAAGTCTTGACTGTAGCAGGCTTGGCTGGTTGCTTAGCTGGTCGCTTAACCAGTAGTTTAGCATCAACCTTTACTCTCCATTCAGCAAGAGCAATATACCGCTCTCTCTATTTGAAAATTAAGAATTCAATTTCCACAAAAAGTTATTGACTCTGAAATTAAATTGTATATTGATAAGAAAATGAACCCATCTGTTTCTACCTTAGGTAGTAACTCAAATATAAGATACTTCAAGCTTCCATTTATTGGAACTTATTCTAATTATACCAAAATTAAAATTAAAAAAATTTTTAATAAATACTGCAAAGATGTTCTTATAAAATTAATATTTACTACTAATAAAATCCAAAATAATTTTTGTTTAAAAGATCCACTTCCTAAGTTGCTTAAATCTCATGTTTAATTGTTTACAAATTTTCATTGTTTACAAATTTTCTTGCGCTGGCTGTAATGCCAGTTATATTGGAGAAACTTCCAGACATTTAACAACTAGAATTAATGAGCACCTTGGGACTGATAAAAAATCCCATATATATAAACATTTAATTACATCCCTTAATTGTAAAAACCTATCTAATTGTAATTCATTTAAGATTTTGGATACCGCTTCAACTAAACATAAAATTAAAAGTAAAAAAAGTGCTCCACTTTAAATGGGAAAATCCCTCACTTAACAAACAAACATCCCATTATAACATTAATCTATCTATTTAATTAAAATGACAGTTTATTTTATTTTGATTATATTGATTGGATATTTGTTGAGTCATTTGTAATTATTTTATTGGTTTATTATATATATTTTTGTCCGTTAATATTCTCTGTAAAGTCTTCTGTTTTTAATATTTATTCCAGAGTTTTTTATTGTAAAATAATCTTTTGAAAATGTAATGCAAATTACGAAACATGTCAAGATTAAAAAAACATCGTGTTATTTTTAAAAATACACACTTATTTTATGCTATTGCGACACTCAAGAAATTTATATATATATATATATATATATATATATATATATATATATATATATATATATATATATATATACATATATATAATATATATATATATATATATATATAAATATATATATACATATATATATATATATATATATATATATATATATATATATATATATATATATATATATATATATACATACACACATACATATATACACATACATACATACTCACACACACACACATATACATATATATATATATATATATATATATATATATATATATATATATATATATATATATATATATATATATATATATATACACACACATATACACACATATATGCATATATTCATACATATTCACATAAATACACATATATATACGTATACGAGAGTTCGCAGTACATATACAATATAAGAAATATATTACATATACATCGTTTATAATAAAAGTATAAATAAAGATCGAAATCTAGCGCTGCATTTGTATTCACATTTAAAGTCTTTCAGTATAATTCTGCTTTGATGAAAAAGCTAGATATAATTGGAAGGAGTGCACTAAATTCGCTTTTAAATATTTCCAAACACAGTAAGAACTATACAAATTCGCTATTTAAAATCCAGGAAATTTCAAAAAGTATTCAACAAAATAAATTAAACTTGTTTCTTCAACTGCTTAATGATAAAATAACTTTATACATTATCTTTTCACAACTGAAACACCCCTTATTTAAACATTCGTTTGTTGGCGATATCTAGGACCAATGCCGTTTTCGGATGCTAACTTTTCAAAACTTAATTCAAAATAAAGGGAAGATAATAATAGCTCTTTCTAGAAGTGAAATTCCCTCCGAAGTTGAACCAACTTTGAAATATGCAATAGAGTGCTGGAATGTGAAAGTACAAAGAGGAATTTTTAAACAATTTCCGGAAGAAAAAATTCTTAAGCGTAAATCACAAGAAATAACTTTCTTATATTTCTTTTTTTTACCTTGAAACTTAAGGCCGGGTTAATAAAAAAAAGTAATTGCTTTTACTCAGTAACTGTTTAGCTTTACGTAATTAAAAATTTGAGCAAAATAGCTTAAATTTTTATTCACGTAAAGCTGAGCAATTTACTCCAACAGCGCTCGTAATTACGCTTTACGTAAATAAAAATTCCATAATTGCTCAGTTTTTTATTCACGTAAAACTGAACAATTACTGAGTAAAGCAATTGCTCTTTTTTGTTCACCCGGCCTTTAGATAGGGTGTTAAATAAATGAAATAATCACTATATAATAATACAAAACTTAATAATCCTTTTAGTGCCCTTTCGAGCATGTTTGACACAAAACCCAAACGCAGCCATTGCAACCGAGGTACTGGCGAGGAAGAGTCGCAGCACTTTTTTATAAGAAAAACATTAACGAAAGTGTGTGCAAATAACTAACGCACATAAACTTCAAAATGCTAAATGTCAAAACATACTAAAAAATGTATCAAGTTTTTAAGCTTTACTTTAACTTGAAAACTGCATTGTGGCAACATCTCCTTAAACTTTGACCGATAGCTGTTTTATAAAGTCTTTGGTTTAATATATATTTTAAAAAATTTTGTTAGACGATAAAGCGGCGTAGTTAGTTCGCGGCAGTTCGTTAAGTGGTCAGTTCGCTGAGCTACTGCTCAGGGGAGCCGTGTTTGAATCCTTCCATTGGATTTTTTTTTTTAATCTTTTTCGATTTTTCTAAAATACAAAACTAATCGCTTTTGAAGATTTATAGAGATTAAATATACTTAACACCTGTAAAAAATATTTTACACTTTAACAAACGAAAGAAAGAAAATTTTTTAAAAAGTTTAAAAGTTCTAAAAACGTCATAAAACAGGAAAAATTTATTGCGCTTATTTGTCATGTTTAATTTTACATTAAACATGACAAATAAGCGTTTTATATAAGCGTTAAAGTTTTCTCCAACTAAGTCGTATTCGTGCAAAGAAAATGGGTATTATTTAACTTTTATGAATCTCTGGAATATCTTTGAATCTCTTTACTATTACATTATCATAAATGTATTTATTAATTATACTTTTTTTTATAAATAGTATGTATAGAAGCTAAATATGACCTTATTTTAAATATAATTAAGTTGTTTTTTTATTTCTTTTTTATTTTTTTTTATTAAATTTTTTGATTTATCTAAAGTAGAAAATAAAACACTTTTAAGGGTTTATAAGTATTATATACATAACATATGTAAAGATATTATACTCTGTAACAAACGAAAAGAAGAGAATTTTAAAGAAGCTTAAAAATTCTAAAAACATCAAAACACCAGGAGAAATGTACTCAGGTAATTCTAATAAGTTAATAAGCTAATATGTTATATGCAAATGTAAAAATACCCTTTATATAACGTTTTATTCAGGATCGTATGTAAATGTAATATAAGTAGACTTTTCTAATAATTAAATATTTTTTTCCTGCTCAAAGTGTTTTGTTTTGAATTTTTGTATGTTTGCTATTGTATTTAAAAAAATTGAAAACATATGAAAAACACGAAACATTGTCTCATCCAATTGGAAAACCTGAAACTTCGATTTCGAAAAATTATACAATGTAAAAGAACTTAAAATTCAGTTTTTCACTGTGTATGTTCTTTATCGATGTGTCCATATCTGTTCAAGAAAACATTAATATATATTTAAGTTAAAGAATCATTTTTGTTATAAATTAACGTTTTACTATATATATATTTTTTGTTTTATTTGTTTTTATAATTTTACCTTAATTATCTCATGATGGTAAAGATATTTTTCATGTTTAGCTGTAAATACTATGTATAACAAACATTTCAAATTTATTTGTTATTTTATTTCCTTAGTCTTACTTTGGTGCTCCACCAACTATCATAAAAAAACTTTGTCTACTGTTAAAATATGGTTTTAACTTAGTAAACTTTAATTATATAAAATTTACTATGTTGATCATTAGCTAAGAGTTTAAAAAGAAACCTGTTTGTCGCAATTAAGGTAAGAAAAGTTTTGTTTTTTTATTCAAATTGCACATTTTTTTTGCACTGATAGCTATTATGTTTTTGATATTTTGTGTAATAGCTAATTGTCTTTGCATTGAACGTCTTTTCTTTCAGATTTTGACTATTAACAATGCTTCAGAAAAAAACATCAGCAACAGATAAATTGGTTTGTAGTGTTAATATGTAATGTTTTTACTTTTATCATATCATAATTTCTATTTTATCTTAGATATATCTTACAATGCTTTTCACCATATTCCAGAACAAATAGAGAGACCCTAACCCACATCTCATAAGGTGTGGGCCCAAGTTTAGGGCAAAAGCTCAACCCTCCTTTGTGGATCCTGTTGAAAGTAAAATATGAGGTGAGGGAGAGTGGTGGAAAAATAATACGCTACATCTATAATAATTTTTATAGTTGGTTAATCTACCAATTGTTAATTGATGATGCAGATGCAGTTAAATTTTTTTCTTGCAAATATAACTTTTTTTACATTTTTTGTTTTGTTATTTTGTATAAATATCTAGTAATTGTAAATGATAAAACGTTTTTATATTTAATAATGTTTATAAATATTTTATTTTTTTTTATCAATAAATATTTGTAATGTTTTGTATATAAATTTTTTTG